TATGCTTTGCAGGCGGCTGGTCTTCTCAGAATACCTTCGCCAGGTTTTACAAGCTGGACGTTCAGTCCTTAGCCTCCCAAGTGCTGTCGGTGAGTGACTGATTCACGTTTATGCTACCTCTATTCATGTGTGTTGCTGCCTCGCACAGTAGTTACTCTGCGCAGCCGTCTATGCTATTGTTGTTGTCTGCCCTGTACTCAGTGCAACTTCCTGTTATTCATGTCTGATTCCCTTCGTGCTACCATTATCATGTTATGTGTTATGCTGCTAAACACAGTTATGACTGTGCAGCCCCTTACAGTACTGTTGCTACTGCCCTGTTTTCAGCGCAGCATACGTTATTACTGACCAGATAGGCAAATTTCGTATACCTGGGCTTTAAACGCTCATTGGCTTATCTCCACCGATCAGCTGTGAGCCCGCCTAACAAGTGTCGCTATTGGTTGTGGGAATTGTGCGTTCTATCTTCGCTGAGTATGTGACTGGTTCAGGCTGCTCGTAGCCTCTCTCACGGCGGGATTGAATATCGTTCCCATAGTGGAGAAATGTCTCCGTGATGTCTTGTGAAAGCTCGAGAGGGAACGTCTCCGGTTACTATCGTAACCTCGATTCCCTGAGAGCGGAACAAGACAGCACGGAGGTCGCCGTGTTTGCTGCTTGACCAGCTAAGCAGCGTTCAGTATCAGATTCTGACGTAATTGTGAGTGCACCGCATTTTATACTGCCGCTCGAGCTCGTCAGTATTTGCATGCGATTTGCATACTTCGCAACAATTGGCCAGACATTTGAACTGGCGTTAGCCAATAGGACTTGAAGAAAGGTTGGAAGGGAAGGTGTTCCCATAACAGGGAAATGTCTCCGTGATGTCTCGTTCCTGCTCTCAGGGAACCGAGGTTACGATAGTAACCGGAGATGTTTTACAGTGTGAACAGATCTTTGTTCTGAACTGATCCGCATGCGCAAAAGAATGATACGAACAGGGTTTCCAGGTTTACACAACATAATCCGCCCAATTGCTTCTCAAAACTAGTCCAAAACTAGCACAACCATGTTCAGGGGAATAAATATCGCGTTAGTGGAGTCGCGTAGACCCACGAAGTTGAAAAACATCGCGCGCAACAGTGGAAAAGTAGCCTAATTTGGCAATACTTGCGCAGTGCGTGGTCATACGGAAGTAAACACGGAGGACATAAAGTAAGCAATTATGCGTTTATTTATAGTGTGATCTGCTACTGAATCCGGCGATCCGGCGAAAAGGCAATATTAAAAATAAAGACAAGGATGTGACAAAATACAGCTTTTTAAGCTTTTATGATACAAGCCCTCAAGCCCTCATTGTATATAGAGTTATCACTGTAATTCTTATGAGTTCTGACATATTACACTTCCACTGATTACCTTTCGCAACTGTCTTGATAACTTTGGGCATGTAAAAATCTTTGAAGGGTTTCCCGTCAGCGCGGAATTATGACGAATGATGACAAAAACAGATCCGAGTCACATGTGAGCAAAAAAGAAAAACGGATTTGGGCAACATTTGCCTGCAGTGTGAACGTAGCCTTAGTGATTCATGTATGGAGATAGAATGGTTGCATAATCCCAAATAAACAGATTATGATAAACAAATAAATGTAAAGAGATTAACAAAAATGAAACATATTGACAAATAAATAGAATGGGAATCCACAAATATCTATTTATGTCACAAACACAAACCTCCGGCCTCCGCTCACTCTAGCCCGCCGTGTGTAACGCTGTGTTTCGTTGTGAAAGCGAAACTACTTTGTTTGACCTTCCAAAAGAGGACACAACTAGAAATCAGTGGTTAAATTGTATTTACAACACTGTTCCAGTACAGTTCAACCCAAATATTCCAGTGTCCTGATCCTGGTAGAGTAGACTACAATGCCGGCTGTTCTGACTCACAGACTGTAAGTACGTTTTTTTATATTTAAAGAATTTGCCACTGACGATTCAAACAAGAGTTTTGAGCAGTGTAGAGTAGCGCTTGTAGTTTGTAATTTCTCCAATCACAAATGCAGACATGGTTTTACGTTTACGCGGCGCGATGCAATGCAACGCGTAAAAAGACAGTATAAGGGTGTACACGGTTGCCTTGAACCGAGCCCAAGCATGATTATCCCTCCTCCCTACTCCCCCACTGGGCTGCACTCACACTTGCACTAAACTCTCCAGGACGGTGCATGCTTACGTCATGTATGAGATAACGGAGAAAACCACTTTCACTAATATTCTGCGCTATTTCGCTAATATAATTAATAATAATTGTCATTATAAACCTAAATATACTTTGAATATACTGAATTAAATTTATTGAAAAGTGTAGTGTAGTAGTAGTAATAGAATATGTTTGTGGTCGTAATGATGACAGTAGCACACACAAAATAGTATCTGTTCTGCACTCCGGTGCGGTTAGCACTCACACTGCATGCGTACCGTGCCCGAGCCCAACCGAACCGTGCCCTAGCCCACCTCTTCCAAACGGGCCAGGGCCGGCTAAACGAACCGCGCCCGAGTTCTGGCCGCGGAGCGCTCGCACTAGTCAAACGAACCAGGCCGCTCGAGCTCGTCAGTATTTGCATGCGATTTGCATACTTCGCAACAATTGGCCAGACATTTGAACTGGCGTTAGCCAATAGGACTTGAAGAAAGGTTGGAAGGGAAGGTGTTCCCATAACAGGGAAATGTCTCCGTGATGTCTCGTTCCTGCTCTCAGGGAACCGAGGTTACGATAGTAACCGGAGATGTTTTACAGTGTGAACAGATCTTTGTTCTGAACTGATCCGCATGCGCAAAAGAATGATACGAACAGGGTTTCCAGGTTTACACAACATAATCCGCCCAATTGCTTCTCAAAACTAGTCCAAAACTAGCACAACCATGTTCAGGGGAATAAATATCGCGTTAGTGGAGTCGCGTAGACCCACGAAGTTGAAAAACATCGCGCGCAACAGTGGAAAAGTAGCCTAATTTGGCAATACTTGCGCAGTGCGTGGTCATACGGAAGTAAACACGGAGGACATAAAGTAAGCAATTATGCGTTTATTTATAGTGTGATCTGCTACTGAATCCGGCGAAATTATGTGCAGGCAATATTAAAAATAAAGACAAGGATGTGACAAAATACAGCTTTTTAAGCTTTTATGATACAAGCCCTCATGTTTTGTTTGTATATAGAGTTATCACTGTAATTCTTATGAGTTCTGACATATTACACTTCCACTGATTACCTTTCGCAACTGTCTTGATAACTTTGGGCATGTAAAAATCTTTGAAGGGTTTCCCGTCAGCGCGGAATTATGACGAATGATGACAAAAACAGATCCGAGTCACATGTGAGCAAAAAAGAAAAACGGATTTGGGCAACATTTGCCTGCAGTGTGAACGTAGCCTTAGTGATTCATGTATGGAGATAGAATGGTTGCATAATCCCAAATAAACAGATTATGATAAACAAATAAATGTAAAGAGATTAACAAAAATGAAACATATTGACAAATAAATAGAATGGGAATCCACAAATATCTATTTATGTCACAAACACAAACCTCCGGCCTCCGCTCACTCTAGCCCGCCGTGTGTAACGCTGTGTTTCGTTGTGAAAGCGAAACTACTTTGTTTGACCTTCCAAAAGAGGACACAACTAGAAATCAGTGGTTAAATTGTATTTACAACACTGTTCCAGTACAGTTCAACCCAAATATTCCAGTGTCCTGATCCTGGTAGAGTAGACTACAATGCCGGCTGTTCTGACTCACAGACTGTAAGTACGTTTTTTTATATTTAAAGAATTTGCCACTGACGATTCAAACAAGAGTTTTGAGCAGTGTAGAGTAGCGCTTGTAGTTTGTAATTTCTCCAATCACAAATGCAGACATGGTTTTACGTTTACGCGGCGCGATGCAATGCAACGCGTAAAAAGACAGTATAAGGGTGTACACGGTTGCCTTGAACCGAGCCCAAGCATGATTATCCCTCCTCCCTACTCCCCCACTGGGCTGCACTCACACTTGCACTAAACTCTCCAGGACGGTGCATGCTTACGTCATGTATGAGATAACGGAGAAAACCACTTTCACTAATATTCTGCGCTATTTCGCTAATATAATTAATAATAATTGTCATTATAAACCTAAATATACTTTGAATATACTGAATTAAATTTATTGAAAAGTGTAGTGTAGTAGTAGTAATAGAATATGTTTGTGGTCGTAATGATGACAGTAGCACACACAAAATAGTATCTGTTCTGCACTCCGGTGCGGTTAGCACTCACACTGCATGCGTACCGTGCCCGAGCCCAACCGAACCGTGCCCTAGCCCACCTCTTCCAAACGGGCCAGGGCCGGCTAAACGAACCGCGCCCGAGTTCTGGCCGCGGAGCGCTCGCACTAGTCAAACGAACCAGGCTTTGGGGGTCAAACCCGCTCGGGCACGGTTCAAAACGTATAGTGTGAGTACACCCTTAGTCATTATAATCCGTAAATTATGTCCCCACTGGATGCAACAAATGCCTCGTTTATAATGGATTTTAATGTTTTTGTCTCGTCGCTCCGGCCGGGACAGGGCATCACAATATGGTAAGGGGCGTAACATTTCCGTCACACGCTTGAGGTATTCGGCCAATCACAACGCACTGGATAGCTGGCCAATCAGAGCACACCTTGCTTTTCAGACCGATGAGCTTTGTAAAAATCGACGCGTTTCAGAAAGGTGGGGCATAGAGGAGAAACAATAATGTACAGTATGTGGAAAATAATGTGTTTTTTGAACCTTAAACCGCAGAAACACATTTCATTACACCAAATACACAAAATAATGGTCTTTTTAGCAACATCATACGACCCCTTTAAATATGCTGCTACCCTCACTAAGGTCTATTGGACTTTACTCTGGGAATGCCACTCTGCCAATCAAATTCGAGGAGTGAAACTAACTTGTAAAATTCAGATGTATGCTGATGTGCTTGTTTACATCAGAAGCTTGGGTCGTGTCTCCTGGGCTCCCGGATGAGTTTGATCGAGCTCTGCAAAACCAGCTAGAAGCAGAACCTGCAGCCTGGCCAGCCCTCCATATCAACATAGACATGGTCAGTTATGGAGATCACAGCCACCTGGAACATAAAGAAAATATTTTTATGGCTGTTTTATGCCATATGAATAAGTATTCAATTCCCTCTGTAACTACAGGCAGAGGGAAATCCACTTTCTGAGAAAAGTCTTCCTTCCTCCCCTGCAGTTTTACAGGAACAGCCGAAGAGCAACATCTCTAAAGTAACTGCTCTCACAGACAGACAACACAAACATGACACTCTATTCATAAAAGCTGATGCAAAGTTAATTTGTCTATTTATATATTTGCATCTAAAGTACCTGAAAAAACAGGTAATTCCAGCTAAATGTGGTCAAGTTTAAAGTTGCAATGAAATGGAAGTAGCAACATATTTTCTAACGAGTGATGCACATCGGACTGTAATAACTTAAAAAGAAAACAAGAAGGCAAGAAGACTAAATAACTGAAGACGTCGTTTTCACCAGAAGTTCAAATTATGACATTTTGATAAAACATTAAGAATTCTTTTTTTTTTTTTATGAAACACATACAGTACATAGATGAATCATTCACAATAATATCTAATATGCATTTATAAAATATAGGTCAATTTTCATTTCATGCTAAATTTAATGCTTAACCAGCTTGATTAGGTCTCCTGTTCCATAAGGTGGTCTAACAATCCTGAGGCTGACCAAGATCTACCAAGTTGACCTCAGCCATATCCAAAATAAGGTTTTCTGCAGTGATGCCATAGAAGAACCATTTTTCCTACGAACCCTTCAGTGAACAGTTCTTCAAATAACCATTTTTTGCTTAGTGTGAAGAACATTTTATTAATCTAAATGATCTTTTTGCACTTTAAAGAACCTTTTGTGCAATGGAAAGGTTCCATGGATGTTAAAGGTTCTTCATGGAACCATTAATACCAATAAAGAACCTTTATTTTAAAGGGTGTATAGCCTAAAACCAGTTTGACCAGCTAGGAACCACATAAAGCCACCTACCTTGTATTGGATTTGGGAAAAAGTGTCAAATACTATACAACTATACATGGGATAATTAAAAAAGTTACAGAATGAGGGCATGTGACAGTAGCAGTGAGATGATGCATAGCTTGTGCTCTGCTCTATCCTACTGTAGCGAGCCACCCAAAGTGATAGTGGAACCTCAAAGGGGAACTCTTCAAGTGGAGACCAAACAGACAGGTGAGAACAGCAGGGACCAGCTCTGGAAGTTAGTCCATGTCTCAAATGGTTTTCAAGCATCAGAAACCATCAAGCGTCTTTGTCTCTGTGCGTTACATTCACTGACTTCGGACTCCTATCTCAGGTATCCCAGCTCCTCACATGATTCAGGCTCAAGCAGTATGAACACAGAGAAGCCCAGAGTGGACCGGCGCAAACGACTTGTCAGACAGTTCAGCTTGTGAGTCACTAGGCAAAATACAGTGCTTATCTTCTGGAGCCTTTTAGATTTAACAATGTATATATTATATATATTTGTTTTATTTATTTGTCCTATAGTAACCATAGTGATGAAGATGACCTCCCTGAGGCACTTGCAGCCATCTCCTCCCAGTGCAATATGGAAAAATCCTCCTCAAACAGCTCCTTGGACAAACAGGTCCAACCACCCATATACCCACCGGTAAGATTCACTATGCCCGCTCGGGATGCAATCAAAATGTATTTTTCAATCAAAAAGTTTTCAGTTACTGAAGCCATAGTAGAAAGGCTCTGTTCGCAGTCTGCCTTGATTAATTTATTCCACAAGAGAAAATATCCAATAACAAATATCCAATTTCAGGGAGACATGGGAAATTATAATGAAGAAAAAACTTAATCAGTGCACCTTTAAAGGAATAGTACACTCAAAATTAAAATCCTGTAATCGTTCACTCACCCTCATGTTGTTCTAAACATGGTTGACTTCCTTTTTTTGTACTGAACACACACACACAAAAAGATGTTTTTGAAGAACATCGTGAAGCAGACATTTTTCAAAATATCTTGTGTTCCTCCTCAGAGGAAATGCAGTAAGTTAATTTTTTTGGTGAACTGTCCCTTTAAGTTAATGACGGTACTATTCTGAAAAGGGATCCATTTACACACACGATTCGTGTAGTAGCCTACATATTTACATAAGTGTGTGTGTTTGTTAAATTGAGAAATATAAAGGGGGAAACATATTGTCAGTTTGTTTGTCAATACATTCATGTATGTTCAAGTCCAGTACACAATCCGTGAACGATTTAGAAAGTGAAACTCGGTTTTTAAGTTGATTACGTTTAGCATTATGCATCCGCCTTTGGCCAGTTGTAGTCTGGTAGCGATGACGCGTATTCACCTCGAGTGGGAGTGGCGCTGTTCACGCGGTCGCGCGCTCCTGCTCCCTCCTCCACCGGCTATGCACCTTATTTTAATGTAATTAAAGCATTTTTAAGTAAAATGTGCTAAGCTTCCGGTGTCAGCCTCTTCCACTTATGTTAGCAGTACAACAATAATCATTATGCTGTTTGTACTATTTTAAAAGTATTTTTACTACTTTGTTTACTGCACTTTGTTCTTTTAGTTACCTATAGACCCATTCAGAGTAGACGTCACAGTTACGTCACTTGCAGCTGCGCGCGCAGAGTGGTTGTGGCGGGAAATGGGTCAAATCCATGAAATAAAAGAAAACAAATATATTTTGTGCCTTTTGATGTCAAGATCGGAATGCAAATAATTTTTTATAGAATACTGTCGTCAAAGACGCCATTTGAAGCTAAACGCAGACGTTTAAATGGACATACTATGGATGAAAACTGTTATGATTACTCTACTTTTAAAGCATAAATTCGATTTAAACAATAGGTCTACATAATATTCACATATGCTGTTCATAGGGGACGTATTGTATTAGCCCTACAGTTACAGCATGAACTATTATTTAAACCTTACTATTAACATTTTTACATAACATTTATTTTATCTCACAATTCTGACTTTTTTTCTCGCAAATGCAAGTTTATATCTCCTAATTTGGACTTTATAACTCGACTTAACTCAAAAATAGTGAGTTTGTCAAATCTGAGGGGGGGAAAGCCAGAAGAGCCGAGGGGAAAAGAGAGAACGACGAGTTGTTTTTCCTTATTAGAATTGTGAGATATAATCTCGGAATTGCGAGAATAAAGTCAGAATTTTGAAATATAAAATCAAATTGACCTTTTTTAAATTCTTTTATTCCATGGCTCCATAGTCTGCCACTTGAAAACCCGTCATTTTCTGCCTCCAGATAGACTCCGCCCACAACAAACGCTACCCGTTTCGGATCTGTAAGATTATCGCACTCTCTAACGTCAATTTCGTTGGTGACAAGCTCTTGTAATATGCGGAGAACATTTTGAAAATGACATCTAATCAATATCATTTATAATCTTTTTAAACCTAACTATTTTGTACCCTATCCGTGAAAATCTCTAGTCATAAAGGCTATTGTTTTTTATGTATAAATATATATATTTTTTTATATATATATATATATATATATATATATATATATATATATATATTACTTTAATCACTGGAGATACTACTGTATGTGACAATATACAGACCTTTTCTTCTTCTCCATAGCAGGATACGTCACATTTAGAATGTGACAACTCTCCACTGTTCTTTCCAAGTCCAGTACCTCGCCTGCTTCCATATGCTACACAGACAGAAAGGTAACACAAACACACACACACTGGTTTCCATGTTTTATGGGGACTTCCAATAGACGTAATGATTTTTATACTGTTCAAACTGTATTTTCTATCCCCTTACCCTAACCCTACTCCTCGCAGAAAACTTTTTTCTGATTTAAAATAATTTTTAGATTAAAAAAAAAAACTGAATTCTGTATGATTTATAAGCTGTTTTCCTCATGCGGACTAAAAATGTCCCCACAAGGTCAAAAATTAGTGGTATTACTATCCTTTGGCCACCATAAGTGAATACCAGGTACACTACACACACACACACACACACAGTCAGGCCCTTTCAAAGATCTTGAATTATTCCATTAAGATATAAGTAGATATATTTTCCTAATATATATCTGCCTTTCAATCTCTGATTATTCATATCTTTCTTTTGTTTTGTGTTTGTCTACTTTTCTTTCCATCTGTTGATGTGGGTCTTGATGTTTTTTCTCTGATTGTTCCCATCTTTCTTTCTGTTCGTCCGTCTGTCTTTGTATGTGTGAAGCTCTGAAGACCTGCGGATGGAGAGAGAGAAACTGCTGAGGGCTCTATTAATGACAGAACTCTGAGACAACATACACACACACACACACACTCACTCACTCACTCACTCACTCACACACACACACACACTGCTGACAGACCACAAAACCTACACAGACAAAAAGAGCCCTTAACTCAAAGCACTAATTTCACTGTTACACAGTATATGAACCTGAACAAACCTCTATGCTATAAGAGCTGTTTTAGCATTATGCTAATACCACACAGCAGTGTTTAAAGCGGTAACAGCAACATTTCTATGTTTATTGGCTTGTTCTGTTCATAGCATGGCATTGGCACTGTATAATCTGGTTAACTTTTAATAATTCTTTAAACTTTCCCAGTGTTTTATAATCTATGGTTTCCTGAAGTTAAGGGGGCGGAGTTTATTTAAACTAGTCAGGCTTCGCTTAAAACTGTCAATGTATAAACCTACTGTATTTGGCTATGTTCGCAATAGAATAGAATACTACTATACTACGCATACTGTTTCTGTAGTATGCAGTATGTATACTGTGCACAGTATGTAAAATACCGGGATGAATGTATGGTATACTGCAGAACACACCTGGGACACTATATCCCACAATGCAATGCGTTCAAACGTCTGCTTAAAATGTGACGTGAACTCGTTTTTTCATTCACTACTTAATTGAACAGATCAAATGACATGTTTGCATATTTTGAACATATTTGAAAAATAGAACATTTAAAAAATTGGATAAAATTATTATTATTTTTTTCTGAAGCAATTAGCGCCACTTAAGCTGAAAGCATAATGGGGTCATGCAACTATTGTACTAATGTTTAAAACGTGCCCATATATTGTACTGCATCATATTCTATTTTTAGACAGTGTATATATAGTGTATATTTCGCAGTATGCAAATCTGTATTTTATTCTGAACATGTGCTTAAATGTCTTGCAAAGTTAAAGGTTTCTAATATATATTTTGTGAAGAATTTTAATGCTATCCATAATATACATTTTCATATGAAACTGCAGTTTTATACAACAACCTCTTTTATCTCTCTTGTAAAATAAAAACAAAGACATTTTCCGGAAGTGCGATGAGCAGAGATCAAGTTTTGATGCTTACATTGCCCACTAGAGGGCATTAAATATGCATTTCAAGTTTGCCTTCTAGAAGTAGATCTGGAGCAACAAAATGAAATGTAAACTTTTTATTTTCTTGTTTACAACTTGATTATCATAAGGGAGAGCAACTCCAGTGTTAATATTTTGATAGGACAACACTTACTGAAATAAAATCTATTTAATGTAGCTCAATCACTTCTCACTTTTTTTTTTAGGTGTGTAAATGCAAATACGTATAATCAGTCAGTCACTCAATCCCTTAGAAACGTTGTTAAATTTTCCTTTATTTTAAATTATTATAAAATATCAAAATAAAACAATACTTTCTCCAAACAGCCAAATTCTTGATTTCTCTTTTCTACATATGTTTATGAATTAATATGATGGTAACAGATCGGGAACATGAAAGAGTAGTGCTTTTACTTAACTACTGCCTGTTGGCATATGCGGGTATAAATCACACGGACTATTTCACTGTCATACACTTTACTCCTACTTCTCATAAAAGCCTAAACATGCAAATTACTCCTAGTATTTTTTTAAAAGCACAGAATATAATAAACGAGGCACACTGGCATAAACAAACAGGAGGGTACTAATGGGATACAGCTGCAGGTAACAAATAAACCTGTTCACATTCCAGCAGATGCACACAAACACTCTCCTTAATACACAGACAATGGGTGAAATTACACCTGTGTGCATTACAGCAGGCCCGAAACACTCTCTGAGTGCAGTATTTAAACACACATGCATTGACTTTTGGTAAAACACACACACACACACAGGTTGGTTACATCATCTACTACACATGTACACAACAACAAGCACATTTATCTATAGAATTTTGTAAATTGATTGGTACGGACAATACATATTTTTCTTAGGCATGACACAGATACACAGATATAAAGCACAAAGTTGTTCCTGATTCTGTTTCTGAGCTATTTTTGGCGAAATGACTTAAAAGAACTACATGTTGCAGACATCCACAAACTACACTGTGCGTGTTGTAAGAATTTGGCGAATCTTGTAAACATGTTAGAACAGCTAGCTCTATGAACTTCATGCAAATTAAAACCTTCAAAGAAAAAAAAAAAAAGCTTGAGTATGTCTCTACGCATTTACACACACTCACGGTAGAGTCACATCAACAGGGAGGCACTGACACACACATACACACACACACACACACACACTTTTTCTGGTCCTTTGGCTTAAATTTATGGTATCAGTGAAAGTTTGCCTCTGATTCGACAGGTTTAATGTTTAAACCCTGGTTTGAAAAGCTATTTCCTGAGTGAACATCATTGCATGTGCATGGACACGAACATACAAACTTATAAACTCACACAACAAACCTTTTGAGTAGAATATTAGCTCTAATGCTTAAAAAACAATGTGCAATATACATTAAATGTCAAAATACATAGAATTATTTTTTAAATTCTTATATAAATAGCATAAATGGCATAATCTGCTTTGTATTGAGGGGTTTGCCGAAACCACCGCAAGGGTGTGGCCTCGTCAATAGTTTGGCTTAAAGCAACTGCAAGTCAAGATAGGCTCCACCTCCTAGAGTCTGGTCTCCAATAGGCTGCTTGGCTGATAGCATAGAAGGAAGAGTTACCAAAGCGTCGCTGTTGCCAGGCTAAAGGAGACAGAAAGAAATTACATTTACTCAAGAAACATGCTTATGCCTCATTATTTGTAACAAGCCCCACCTCAAATGAGTGACAGCTTTCCTACTGACTAACTAGCAAACTGCCTGAGGCGAATGTACAGCCTGCATGGGAAAGACGCACATTGTAGGTGTGCATGGCAGGAGTCACAACTGTTTTTAGAATGGGTTCATTAGCCCATTAGGCAGCCTAATAGAATGTTTCACTCCTGTGGTGTTGATTATTTAGTGTAATATTCTGTATAATGCATAATACTATCAAGTACATACTATAGCAATAATTACTGCAGTTTTAATATAGCAAAAGATATTTTCAACACTTATATACTTTGGGTGAAACCCTTCACACCCTTAACTCAAAGCAAGAATGTTAAGAAGACTGACACACCCTAGTTTATTCAGAATGCAGAGGGTCTCCTTCCCTTATTAAAAATTAAATATAAAATGTATTATTTATAGTAATTATACACACACACATACAGGTGCATCTCAATCAATTAGAATGTCGTGGACAGCTTTATTTTTCCCCCCTGTAGATTAAAATGTGTCCCGGTTAATTTCATGTTTTCTGAGTAAAAAATCCGAAAACAATTGATTTTTACCATGATTTATAAAAGAATGTCATTCATTGTAACAATAATAAATATACCAAAAAAATCTTATCGGGCATGTTTCATTTTTACATAAATATTTCTGTTATGCTGAATGACGATGGAACATTATATCACCATATTTTGACATTTTCTTTTCACAAAAGATATTTGAAACCAAGTTTACTTGCATTTAATATGCTTTCTTTGTATAAAAAAAATCACTTTTGTAAATTTAATTTGATGCGGACACCAAAATGAGACGCCTCGTCTTTGACCCATATACATATTTGTTTAAATGTATTTAAAATTTTTAATATGTACAGTGGGTATAGAAAATAAACACCCCCTTTAAAATAACCACATATTGTTGCTTTGCAGCCTGAAATGAAGACAAACACAGTTTTTGTTTTATTGAGTATTTACTCAGTAAAACCTAGAACATCCAAGTGAAAGATAAAACACCAACATGTCAGAAAAAAAGTTGGAAAAAGGATCACCCCTTTGTGTCAGTATTTTGTTGAACCACCTTTTGCTTTATTTACAGCCTATAGTCTGTTGGGATATGTCTCTACTAACTTTGCACATCTGGACTTTGCAATATTAACCCACTCCTCTTTGCAGAACTGCTCAAATTCAGTTAAATTTGATGGTGACCGTTTGTGGACTGGGGTTTAAGTCTGGGCTCTGACTAGGCCAGGGGTAGGCAAGTTCGGTCCTAGAGAGCCACATCCTACAGAGTTCAGCTCCAACCCTAATCAAACACACCTGAACAAGCTAATCAATGTCTTCAGGATTACTAAGACTATAGGCAGGTGAGTTTTGTTTTCAGGGTTGGAGCTGAACTCTGCAGGACTGCAGCTCTCTCGGATCGAACTTGCCTACCCCTGGGCTAGGCCATGCAAGGACATTCAGCTTTTCTCCTTCAACCACTGTGTGCTCAGTTTTGCGGTGTGCTTTGGGTCATTGTCATGTTGGAAGGTAAACCTTCTTCCCATTGACAACTTTCTGGCAGAGGGCAGCATTTTTTCCTCAAGAATTTGATATTTTACCCCATCCATATTTCCTTCTATCCTGACAAGTGCTCCAGCCCCTGCTGCAGAGAAACCCCCCATAACAGGATATTACCATCTCCATGTTTTACTGTAGGAATGCTGTTATTTGACATCGCATTTGGTGTTGAGGCCAAATAATTACATTTTAGTCTAATCTGCTTCAGAATCTTCAAGTTGCGTTTTGGCAAAGCTCGGTCATGACTGCATGTGGCCTTTCTTGAGGAGTGGCTTTTTTCTTGCAACCCTCCCATACAAGCCACATTTGTGGAGAATTTGTGATTCTCCAGTTTCCTCCTGACTCTTTCATCCAGTTTGGAGTGACGGCCTGATCCAGGGAGGGTCTGTGTTGTACCAAATACCTTCCATGTCTTAATAATAGACTTCACTGTGCTTCTAGGCATTGATAAAGCTTTTGAAAAAATGTTTGTATCCATCTCCTGACTTGTGCCTGTCCACAACTTTCTCCCAGAGATCTTTTGACAGTGCCTTGCCACCTATAGTTGAGCATTTGCTTCAGTTGTACTACCAAGGACTGAAATGCTCCAGGAAAACTCTTTTCATGCTGAGCTAATCAAAATGACCACAGTTGATCACAGTTGAAAGTCAAATGGCTTTGTGTGCCATT